TAGCTTAACGACAGACTCTCTGGCAGAATTTTCTAAATACATGCAAAAGTATTTGATGGATACTCAGATCTACAAAAGTAAAGAACATTGAAATAGTAAATATGTGGGTAAATATAGAATATTTTATTTTATTAACCTTTCTAAAAATTAAATTATAGCAGTGTACATTAATACTATCGTGGGGTACAGTGTACTGTTTCTATATAGAATTTGAAATACTTTCATCCAACTGGTTAACATAGCCTTTATGTCTTTTTCTTAGTTATTGTGTTAAAACATTTATATCCTACATTTAGAGAGATTCACATGTACCCTTTATAGGATGAACCATAGACATAATCCCACCAATCACCCTCCCTCTAACCATCCTCTCCCCTCCCCCTCTCCCCATATTCCTGGGCTAATAAAGGGTTATAGCTTTCCCATGAAAGCTAGAAATTAGTTTCATAGTAGGGCTGAGTACACTGGATACTTTTTCTTCCGTTCTTGAGATACTTTGCTAAGAAGAATATTTTCCAGCTCCATCCATGTAAACATGAAGGAGGTACATCTTTCTTAATGGCTGCATATTATTCCATGGTGTACATGCACCACAATTTATTGATCCATTCATGGATCGATGGGCTCTTGGGCTTCTTCCATGACCTAGCAATTATGAATTGGGCTGCAATGAACATTCTAATACAAATATCTTTATTGTAGTGTAATTTTTGGTCATACCATGCTCATGGCTGGGAAGAATTAACATTGTTAAAATGTCCATACTACCCAAAGCAATATATAATTTTAATGCTATCCCTATTAAAGTTCCATTGCCATACTTTAAAGATCTTGAAAAAATAATACTTCATTTTATATGGAATCAGAAAAAACCTCAAATAGCCAAGACATTACTCAGAAATAAAAACAAAGCAGGAGGAATCATGCTACCAGACATCAGACTATACTATAAATCCATAGTGATCAAAATGGAATCGTATTGGCACAAAAACAGAGAGGTAGATGTATGGAACAGAGTAGAGAACCAAGAGATGAACCCAGCTACTTACCATTATATGATCTTTGACAAGCCAATTAAAAACTGAGTGGGGAAAAGATTCCCTATGTAACAAATTGTGCTGGGCAAACTGGCTGGCAACCTGCAGAAGACTGAAATTAGATCCACACCTTTCACCACTAACTAAGATTGACTCTCACTGGATTCAAGATTTAAACTTAAGACATGAAACTATAAAAATACTGTAAGAAAGTGTAGGGAAAACACTTGAAATCGGCCTGGGTAAAAACTTTATGAAGAGGACCCTCCGGGCAATAGGAGCAACATCAAAAATACACTACTGGGACCTCATCAAATTAAAAGCTTCTGCACAGCCAAGAACACAGTAAGTAAAGCAAGTAGAGAGCCCTCAGAATGGGAAAAGATATTTGCTGGTTATGTCTCCAACAAAGGTTTAATAACCAGAATCCACAGAGAACGCAAACATATTAGCAAGAAGAGAACAAGTGATCCCCTCTCAGAGTGGGCAAGGGACTTGAAGAGAAACTTCTCTGAAGAAGACAGGTGCATGGCCTACAGATATATGAAAAAACGCTCACCATCCTTAATCATCAGAGAAATGCAAATCAAAACTACTTTGAGATATCATCTAACACCAGTAAGATTAGCC